CATGCTGTCGTGAAAATACAAGGTAACCACGCTATCAATTTGTTGCAAAAGGAAACTTCATCATGGTCATCTCATCCAACCCGTCCCATCGTTCCATGCTCATGTACACTGCTCCCCGCAAAACCAGATCCTCTCTCACGGGTCACTTTTTCCCTTGGTAAACCCCCCATCTCTCGCAAATCAAAGCTCGTCGTCATCGTCGTCATTATTTATGGAAGAAAGGTCCATCACCGGCCTCCGCCGGCGCTTTCCCAGCGTATACGGCGTGCGCGGCGCAGAGAGGGCCTGGTAGTGCTCATACTCGCTCTTGAATTGATGATTGCGAGGCTCCACGTCGTCGCGCTCATCGCCTGCCCCGTCGTGGCCAAGGGCGAGACGGGAAGGCCTGCGGGCACGGGTGCTGTTCACGGCAGGTGCGGGCGCGGCTTGCGAGTAGAAGTTTCGTGGGAGAATGGCCGCGGGTGGAGGGTGTGCTTCGGCTTGCATCATGTCTTCGTTGTTGCTAGGCTTCTTGGCTCCGCCTGGCTTTCGCTTCGTCGCTGGTCGGCGGGGCTCTGGAGGTGGAGCTTGTGGGATGGCTACTGGAATTGGGATTGGTGCTTGAGGTGGTGGAACAGAATATTGTAGATGCTGAGGGTGTGGCGCGTGGGATGGATATGGATACATTCCAGGCCCATGAGGGTATTGGTTTGGAGCGCCAGGATTCATCATGGAGAAGGGACCCCCCCCGTGTAGATTTTGGTAGGGGCCCGGGTGTGCGTAGGCATGATTATACTGAGACGGCGGCGGCGGTTGAGCGTAGGTGGTGTTCGGGTATGGCATCGGTGGAGGTATCGCCATGAAGAATTGACTCGGCGGGAAAGTTGAAGCTGGGACACCACCATGGTACGGAGCATCAAAGTGGCTGTCATGGGTAGCGTGTGCCGCCGTATTCTTCTCGGCCTTCTTGTTGGCATTCGTAGCATTTCTCTTGGCCATTGGAACAGCCATCTGGCCTGTCCGCCATCTCAAAGCCGTGGACGCCGAAAGCTTTCTACTCTTTTCGAGTTTCTTTCTCAATGCCTCTGCGGCGGCTGCATCCGTATCTCCATCTCCGTCGTCCTCATTGACCAAGCCTGTATGATCTATGCCGTTTTCTGGCCTAGCAGTCTGTTGTGCAGCCTTCTTCACGGGCATTCTCCGCTGCTCTGGCGCAGCTGGTGGAAGGTCCATATCAGTGGAAGTCTGTGTAACACCTGGAATCTCGGAGCCTGGACATGTTAGATCGTCGTAAGCATTCGTTACGGATGAACTATTTTGAGCCCGAGAAGCCTCCTGCGAAGCTCCTTTGCCCTTACCCTTTGCCTTGAAGGTAAGTCTCTTGGGCGAAGGCGCAATCTTGTCCTCGACTTCGGCCTCTTCATCATCGTCATCTGTCGGCTCAGCAAAGTTCTTCTTGACACCAACACGAGATGCACGCCTCTTGGGCTGTACTTCGGCGACTTCTTCGTCAAGACCGTCGCCAGCATCGCTGTTGTACTCGGACTCACTAGCTTCCTCTTTGAAATGCTTGCCCTTCTTGACGCCACGAGCTTTGCCAGCCTTGCGGCGCTTTGGTCGTGCTGGTAAAGCTTCTTCCTGAGTGAACTCATCTTCGTCTCCTATCGGATGAGACACATAGACAGACTCAGTGGTCGTAACAGCTCTCTTCCGCTTGGGTCGTCCACTAGCGGTGGTAGAGTTTTCGCCGTTCATCTCACCAGCAGGGTCAGGGGTAACCATTAGGTCCTCCTCTGCCTTGGGGATGAGCTCTTCGTGCTTCTTTCCGGATGTCTTTCGTTTCTTGGGAGCGGGAGCGGCTGGCTGAACAGGTGCAGGGATACTGTCAGCGACCACAGCACGCTTCCGCTTCCCACCCTTCTCCTTGGGGTTATTTGTTTTTGCGACTTCGTTGACGGTTGCAGTCACGCCTCGTGTCGTCTGTTCACGAGTGTCTTCTCCGGAGGCGGCTCTGCTAGCATGGCCACTGGTTGAGCCAGTCGCAACAGAAGACGAAGTTGAGGGTCGAGATTTGGCTGAAGGATAGAGCGCAGGCATGTCATCCTGCTCTGTAGACTGGATGATTTCATTGTTTTCACCAAGTCCCATATGACTTTCTTGGGCCACAGCCTTCTTTCCCCGTCCACCACGGGCGGCCTTTGGCTTTGCAGCTGCGCGGCCACCTTTTTTCTTGGGAGAAGATTTGACAGCATTCCTTGATTTCTTATCCTCGTCGCTTATGACTTTGAAGACGATTTTGGTATTCTTCTTGCCATTAGTAGGTTGCTCCTGGGTTTGCTGAACAAGGGCCTCGGCAGCCTCTTGGAGCTCAGCTTCTTGACCTTCCTCGAGCTCTCGGGATCCTACACCCGGGAGTTCATCTTCAGACTCCTCGCGATCGCCTGGCTCTGAGGCAGGAGGAAGATGGGATTGTTGGAGTTTGGATTTGGGAGCTGTTTTTGGTACTGTGGCAGCGGCCTCTCCTTTGGGCTTTGGCGGGCGACCAATCCTCTTACCGGATTTGAAAGTTGCAACGTGCGGGGTACCTTCACGCGTAGCAATCTTTGCACGGCGAGCAGGCGAGGTGGATAACTCCTGAACAACTCTTGTAGTTCGTCTCCGCTTGCCAAGGGGGGCATCTTCATCCCCAGAGTCACCGGGAGTGTTTGTCTGCTCAGTGTCCAAAGCACGCTTTCCCCTGTTTCTCTTCGGTCTGCCGTTCTCGTCTACCTCTTCCGTGGGAACGGTAACCCGGCGATCCTTGAAGACCTGAAAGCCAATGGCATCGCGATTCTTGCTATATTCGGCCATGTAGACGTCGGCCGTCTTCCGATCTTCAAAGACGACTGGGTCTAGGAAGAGAACTCGCTTCTTACGAATTTCATCATCACCGCGTCTCAATGCAGGCAAAGGAGTATCTTCGAGGAGAGTAACAGGCTTGGCCGCCTCTTTCTCGTTTGCTTTTCTTCGCTTGTTGACTTTTCCCATGATATCAGGATTCTTTATATTCCTCATGAATTCCCAGTGGATCGGAGGGACCACATCAGGATCGGATGCTTCCTCTTGTCCGCTAACCCAGGCGTTGTAGTCTCTGAACGACATTCTCAACTGCTCTCGGTATTGAGCATGAAGTCTCAGCAGCTCGGCATCACTTTCAGCAGAGAGCTTCTCATCTTCTTCCTTCTTTGCCTCAGCAGCGATTTTGGCCGCATACTTCTTGGCAATTTCATAATCGCTGGTCTCCTTGTCGCAAAGATCATATTCTTCTTGCAACTTGAACAAGACCTTTGTAGTTACAGAGGCACGATAATAGAGAGTCTCGTATGACATGTCTTCCGGGTTCTCAAGATAGTTCACGTGAGTCAAGATGGGCGTTAATTTCTTGAACTTAATTCCAGACTTGTTTAGGCGTGTTGGCTTGATCTCAGGGGTTGGCTGTTGTGATGGTACAGCACTGAATGTGGCCTCGGATACTTTGAGGGTATTTGAACTGCTTCCAAGATCTTTGGGAGATTGACTTCGCTTCGCTAAGGCTGCAGCGTCTTTGGCGATCAAAGGCGTGGGGTGACTGGTTGGGATCTCGGCTTTTTGTGGAGATTCCGTGCCATCAAATTCGTCAGAGGTCTCTGGAGTTCGGGTTCCGGACTTGCTGCTTTGATATGCTTGAAGACTTGATTTGCCATTTGGTACGGGGGAGGCTCTCGGGTCTTCCGTGTCAGACGGAGCAGCCGAAGCATCCGGCATGTCTTCCTCATCCTCGGAATCGTAGATAGTGTACTCTCCTTTGACGTAGGCAGAAACTTTGGAAAATTCGCGACGCATGTTCTGCTTCAGCAACTGCTCATTGAGGTTTCCGTCAGTAACGACTTGGTGACCGGTATGAAGCACGCCAAGATCTTGATTGCCAAGGTCCTCACGCACAGCGGCATCTTCATCTCGAGGCTTGAGCCTGGAAAAACGATCAACAAATGGTGAGTTTGGGGCAGAAGATAGAACGCTTGATTCGTCGCTATCACTGCCATATGTAAGAGGTTGAGCTGGACATGACGCCACGTGACGCATGAAATCCTGTAACTGGTCAGGAGTGAAATTCGAATAGTTGGATTGCAGCGAGACCAACCTCGGTTGTGATTTTTTCAAATGTGCTGGAGCAATTTGAACATGTAGAAGAAGTCTTGGTGGTGAGAGGAGGTGGAGGAGGAGGAGGAGGACGAGGATGAGGGATTTCTGAAGAAGTCGGCATTACTTCTCCTTCTAAGGGTGCAATTACAGCTTCCTCATGCAGGACTTGCGGCGGCGTTGCGCGAAGATCAAGCACGACACCTTTACCTCTCGCCATGGTGGAAGATGGGGAATAAATTGCTCTGTGATCTTAATTAGAATGAAGATTCCACGAGCGAAAATTGAGGTGGATGTCGAGGACGCAAATAGTCGCAGGAAACGTTTCCGGGGGAGGGGGGTGGTGGTGGTGGTGGTGCGGTGTCTCAAGTCAGTTAGTTGCGCTTGGGGAACGAATTTGAATTTGATGTGAGTGAAGGAAGAGGTAGGTGGAAGAAACGGTGGTGGATTTGAACATGGGGAAGTTATGCAGGAGGGAAAAAAATCAGCAAGCTAGCAGAATGACAATAGCAAGGGAAAAAATTGGGATTTGGTATTGTCGTTGAATATGAATTGTCTCTCTTTGGGTGAATGTCAAAGTGAAAGTCAATGTCGAAGTCGAAGTTCATTGTCGAAAGTTTGATTGATACGAAGCTACTGAACTTGGCTTGACCCCCGTCCGCTCACCAATCACGGGCCGCCCTAGTGCGGGACGGGTGGGTCCGGTGGGAACAGGCGGCGGAGAGCATCAACAGCCTCATGCAACCTCCCATCGCCGAGACCTTGACACTGATCTACACTTTACTCTGTACACCTCCAGCTCCAGCTCCAGCTCGACCTCAGTTTCCACTTCCACTTCCACTTCCACGTCCACGTCCACTGAAAACACTTGCCATGGCGACCAAAAAGTCCAAAGCTGCCGCCCCGACCGACGATGAACTGGCCCAGATGCTCGAGGGTCTCGAAGCAGATGCCAAACCTCCGTCCAAGGGAGCGACCGCCGCCTCCAAGCCAACAAAGCCGGCGGCGGCGACCCAGTCCGAGCAGGACTTGCTGGCGGAGCTGGACAATCTAGAGAATCTGGGCAACCAGCCACCATCGAGACCACACACCCCTCGCATCAGCTCCATCAAGCGAACTGCGACTGCTACACCTCCACCCGCCTCTTCACGGACGAGCGAGGAGAAGGCAGCTCTCAGGAAGTCGGGCGATAGCACACGGTCGTTCCACACCTCGTTCACGCCTTCGGCTACAAGCAGCGACCTGCAAGAAGCTGAGAAGAGGGCCTCCATTGCTCAGCCGGTTGAAGAAGCTCCTGTTGCAACTGGTGGCGGCTGGTGGGGTTCGGTATTCGCAACTGCAAGCGCTGCTGTCAAGACTGCCGAGAATGCGGTCAAAGAAATCCAACAGAACGAGGAAGCCAAGCGATGGGCGGAGCAAGTCAAGGGCAATGTTGGAGTACTGAGGGGGATTGGTGAGGCTTCTTTCGCTTCTCTCATTGTGTTTTTGAATGCAATGATTCCGTTTAATTTTTATCAAGTGCTATCACTAACTCCCTCCCCCAGGCGGCGAGCTTCGCTCCAGAGCCCTCCCAACCTTTACCAACATCCTGCACACCCTCGCACCCCCCATTTCCTCCCACGAACGTCTTCAAATCCACATCACCCACGATTTCATTGGCTACCCCTCCCTCGATCCCCTCATATACAGCACCTTCTCGCGGGTGATGGCCCAAGTGGAAGGCGGCGACCTACTAGTCATCCAACGCGGCCACGAATCAACCGCGCGTAGAAATTCGGAGGCAGGATATTCCGGCGGTAGTGCAGGCTGGAGCGACGGCCCCTGGTGGCGCCAGAGCAACGAGCACCGAGACCTGGGCTCCGTCAAGGGACTGGTGGAGGGAACGAAGTTGGTGAGAGTAAGTGCCGAAGCCTATGCCACCGAATATCTTTCCTCGCACGGCGGTCTTGAAGCCGCTGCTCAGCGCGCAACCGAGAATCTGAGCGAGTCGAACCCAGTGCGGAGCAGCGACATCTTTCTTGCTGTGCAGGCCATTTCGCATGGTGCCCCGGAAGAGCTTTTCCAAGGGTCACCCAAGGAAAAGGAAGACGGCGCTGTCGTGGAGGATAAAGAATCAGTGGACGAGTTGATCTCATTTGCCATTTACCTGCATGATCCTGTGCATAGTATTACGTTCCACACCCTTACGCAAAGCGTACCAGCGAAGTGGATGAGATGGCTTGATGCGTCATCGCCCATGACACCTGCGAGTCCAGCTTCCCCTAGCGATCAGCACAAGAGCGGGTTCTTCGGCAACGATCAGGAGGGGTGGCAACAAAGCGGATTGCCGGACGAGATTAAGGAGATTATCGAGAGCGGTGGTGTAGATCCCAGGGAGTGGGTTGCGGAGTGGGTCGAGGAGCTGCTCACGCTGGGCGTAGGTGTTGTGGCGCAGAGGTATGTTGCGCGGAGGATGGGTGTTGGAGAGGGGGGGATTGGGAAGGGAAAGGCGAGGCAGGAAGAGATTATGGAGGATGGGGGCGGGGAGGCTGCTAGGGCAGGATTGTTTTAAAGCGGGGTATCGTATGGTAGGTAGCTTTGGCGTTTTGTTTTATGGCTCTCGTGCTTCTATTCTATTCCCTCTCTTTAAGGGCGAAGCCGCTTCCACTAGTTCGTACTCTATTGATTCCCGGATTTGCGTCCGTTGAATGCAGATTTCTCTTTTTTTCCACGGCGCGATTCCCTCTTCTTCTGCCTTGCAAAACATGTCAGTCACCTCATCTGGGCCGCTGCCTGGAAACCAACCGTACGGGTCAGCTTCGAATATGCAAGAAGATGTAAAAAAAAAAACACCAGAGACTAGGTTATCCGAAAAGATCACGTGTCGAACATCTTACCACACAACCAACTTCGCCGGGGCACTTTTTCTTTTTTTCTTTTTCTTTTTCGCAACTTGCTTACTTACTCGAATGGAGTGAGTAGGAAAGGGAAAGTAGGGGTGGGTAGGTGGGTAGGTAGTGAGGATATTTCTACTTTCTTGGGGGGGGGAGAGGGGGTTTGTCTTTTCCTCTATGTAGGTATTGATTTCTCAAGGGGGGAGGGTGAAAGTATAAATCTATTTTGTACTCTTCTTTTTCTTTTTTCTAATCCTCTCTCTCCTGTGGTACTCGTCATGGTAGATTGACGGGGATGTATTGATAGTTGTGAGTATGTATGTATGTATGTATGTATGTATGTATGTATGTATGTATGTATGTATATGTGTAATATGATGACTCCTTTTATTCTCGATACTGGAGAGTGGTAGAGAGCTGGAGAGGTCCATTCCAAGTCCAACAGTTGCGGGATCGGCGCTTTTGGCGGCGTCGTAACAGCTACGGATGGGTTTCTAGCTAACTAACGGCTTCGATCCGGAAACCGATTCAAAGGGCCTGGGTACCGTAGCGTTTCCAAGTGATGTACCGGTGTAGGGACGTATACCATACCGTTTATCCTACCTCGCTGCCGACCTAGGCGAGGAGGCCCCTTCTTCGCTAGCTACCTAGGTACCTCACACCTAGGTAACTGACTACTTTCCTTGTCTCTTTCCCCAGCTTGAAATGATGGAGGAGGAAATCGGGGAATTGCCAGATCGGCTATCTTGGAGTTAGATATCTACCGTAGAGCTTGATTAGTTCCCGGTTTCGGATTCTATGGTCGGTGTGTGTGTGTATGTGTGTGTGTGTGCTGTGGCTATGGTTTTACAGCTTTTCCAACTCGTATCAGTCAGCCTTGGTAATTTGAAGGTCTGTTCTGCTGTTTCTGATATTCGTCTTTGTCCCGTCGTGGTGTCACGGGAGGAGATGATGTATGTATGCATGTACCGGTATGCAGTTTAATGGGTGGAGGATGATTGATGAGCGGGATGATGGTTGTGGCGTCTGCGTCATGATGGGCGGTCGATCTCGGGACGGGTATCTTGTCTGGGGTAATGTAAATAGACGAATGAATGGGCATCAATCGTCGGTTGAGTACTATCTGGTCTGAGGGTTTTGGTGTTAGAGCACTCCGACCTGCGGTTAGTTAAGTGACGGATCGATAGATAGGCAGGGCTAGGAGGGAGATACTTACCTAGATATTCGTGAGCCGTCTCTGAGCCCCGCGAACGCAACTCGACGGCATCGTCTAGACTGAACTAGACGACGATATACGTGTATTCTGGGTGGGCCGTTAGGGCGGTTACCATACGTAGCTTTGGTGATTCGGGAGGTCCCGACACATGGAGGTGAAGCTTTTGTTGGGGCCCGGGAATTTAATCTTGATGGGCCGGGTTACATGGTAGTCTGGAGGTCGTAAAGTCACGTGATAGAGCAAGACAACATTTGCTGATCTGACGGAGTAACTATACCAGTCCACGAATGTTTCTCTGTATGTAAGAGTTGGGAAGGCTGATTGCAATGTATATTGTGTCTCGTGGCCCGCGAGAGAGAGCCATGCGGTTTTTTGTACCTACCCGCAGCCATCCTCCTCGATTCGCTCTCACACACGCTTCCGGTGCCCTCACTTCAACTTTCTCTTTTCACGTACTGCTTGCTCTTTTCCGGATGCCTGATTCTCACCGAACACATGTCTCCCTCTGTCCGACTCATCGTCACATACCTACCTAACGGTACCTACGCAAAGTTCTCGACATGCACAAGCACGGTGGGGAGAAGCGGTAGATACGCACGCACGCACACACTCACTCACCGTCTCACACGCACACAACAAGCCTACCGGTACTCCGTAGGCGAGGCATAAGCAAAGAGAGCCGAGGCGACAAGGAAAAGCAAGCCAAGATTCGGACGTCCCAAGCTCTGCTCAGTGCTTTGCTTCTCATTTCCCCAATACGAATCCGAATGCGAGATAACGCCTTGTGCCTCTCCTACCTACTACTATAGGTACACTATACTACCGAACTCACACCATCGTCATCAACTTCTAGACGAGAATATTTGACAGCTCAAGGTCCGGCATCAGTTCCTGCGTCGGCAACAGTTCCTGCATCAGCATCAGCATCAGCTCCAGCAACAGCAACAGCAACAGCAGCAGCAGCAGCAACAGCTCCAGCATCGGCTCCAGCTCCAGCATCAGCTCCAGCATCAGCATCAGCTCCAGCATCAGCATCAGCACCGGCACCAGCAGCAGCATCAGCTCCACTACGATACTGCCCTGTCACGACCGCCTCCACCGCCTCCACCACCTTCACCGCCCCCACCTGCACGCGGCGTAGGGCCTGTATCGATATCGATATCCAGCTACGAGAGCCGCATACTTTCAGGAAGACTGATATACAGGGGAGATGTTTGACGTGAGTCTGGTCTTCTTTGGGCTGCGTTGAATCTCGGAATCGAATCTACTCCGTACTGGGCTCGTCTTGAATGGGAATCGCTTGCACATGAAGTCATTTTGCGGTTGTACTGCCCGTGCCATTTACTTCGGGGAGAGAGAAGCTAGGTTTGGCAGAAGTCTCGAGTCTAGACTCGCTCATCAATCAGCCTGCTGCATCACCAAGCAAAGCCAAAGCTGGAAGGAGCTGGTTGAGCGATATCATATCCTGCCATTTATATGCTCTGCTCACTTTTGGCAGTACCAGAAGTTGTTGTCGTCGTCGCCGTCGTCGTCGTCGTCATCGATGTTGTCGTTGTTGTCGTTGTTGTTGTTGTTGTCGATGTTGTCGATGTTCTCGATGTCGTCTTCTTTGTCACAAAACGCGTTCCGCTTGTTTCTCTCATCGTCATTGGGTTGAAATATGACGTCACCTAGTGGGCCCAATCCCTGCCCCATAGAAGTTCCGCCCCGCCTGTCCCACCCCCCACCCGCCCACCTGCTCTCCAGCCCAGTGGCAGCTCCAGATCTGATTTTGAACCTGATTCTGCCACATTCTGCCATTCCCTTGGGCCCTTAAAGCAATCTCCGTCACTTCTCCATCGGCGTATTTGCTTCTACTTATAGAAGTATTCAAGAAAGTCGCGTTTGTTCAGAGCAACCTCCCACCTCTCTCTCACCTCCCACCTCCCATCCCCATACCCGGTACAGCATCACGCATCACCATATCATCGACGATTGTGGCCTCTTGTTGACCATCCCTCCTTTCTCCCCTCTTCCCTCCCATTCGGGGGCTCTCCCTCCTCCCTCCTCTCTCTTCTCTCTTCTCTCCTCCACTCCTTCCTCTCGTCGCTTACTCAATCCTCCTCGCTCTTTCTCTCCACTATTCCGGTCCTTTCAACGCATCCGCACGCATCTCGAACTCGCCATTCTACTATACCGGACACCGTATTCTGACCATGTCGCTCTCACAGTCTATCAAGAACTTGATCCGTCATGGTCCGCCTCCTCCTTCCTTGCATCCCTCCGTCCCTCCCTCCCTCCTTCGCAGCTACTCTCCGTCACGCTCAGATACATAGCTGATCCCCCAACAGGTAAGCAGGGCCGGGCTTCTCAGCCTCCGCAGGACGAGGCAACGACCCATGTCTCGCCTATCAACATCCATAAACACCACCACGAGCACGCCCCGCCGCCGCAACACTACGCCCATACCGATCCGACCATGAACATGCAACAGCAGGGCGCCCAGGGCCACGAAGCCTACTCGACGGCCGACCTTGATGGGCGGAATCGTGGCGCGCAGGCTGGAAACGCGGCGGCTCATGCAGCGGAGAAGAAGCAGACCAAGCAGAAGAAGGTCGACCACGAAGAGCTGGCACGTATCGTCGCCGAGGAGAACGAGAGCAAGGGGAAGCTACCCCGCTACCCCGACCTGCAACGATGGCAACTCATTGAGAAGATGGGCGACGGGGCTTTCAGCAACGTATATCGCGCGCGGGACCTCGAGGGAAACGCGGGCGAGGTGGCTATCAAGGTTGTCCGCAAGTTTGAGATGAACTCTGGTCAGGTAAGCAATCCCTTCCTTGACATAGCTCTTCATCTCTGGGAATTTGAAAACCCAATCTTTCGGAATATTTAGCCAACCTGTGCGCTGGTATAGGGCGAGGCTGCTCTCCATCCGGATTTCAAGAAACAGCCTAAGACTGTGGAGGTGCGCATATTTTTCTATTTACAATGATTGGGTTATATCAGATCTATTTGAACAAGCTCCGAGGCTGATGTGTGCCTTCTACAGAGAGCGAATATCCTCAAAGAGGTCCAGATCATGCGCCAACTAGACCATCCCAACATCGTCAAGCTGATCGACTTCTCCGAATCAAAGCAGTACTACTACATCGTGTTGGAGCTGGCACCAGGTGGAGAGCTCTTCCATCAGATTGTACGCCTCACATACTTCAGTGAGGATTTGGCCAGACATGTCATTACTCAGGTCGCAGAGGCTTTGGAGTATTTGCATGAGGAATGTGGTGTCGTTCACAGGTTCGCCCCCCCCCCCCCCCTTTTTTGTTTCTCCCCCCGCTGACGTCATTTATAGAGATATCAAGCCTGAGAACTTGCTATTCTCGCCTATCCCCTTTATGCCATCCAAGAATCCAAAACCAAAAGCGCCCGAGGATGAAGATAAGGTCGATGAGGGCGAATTTGTTAAGGGCGTTGGCTCTGGCGGCATTGGAAAGATCAAGATTGCCGATTTTGGACTCAGCAAGATCGTGTGGGACAACCAAACCATGACGCCATGTGGAACAGTTGGCTACACGGCACCCGAAATCGTCAAGGATGAACGCTACTCCAAGAGCGTAGACATGTGGGCCATGGGATGCGTGCTTTACACATTGCTCTGTGGATTCCCTCCGTTCTACGATGAGAGCATTCAAGTGCTTACCGAAAAGGTCGCTCGAGGCCAATACACATTCCTGTCGCCTTGGTGGGATGATATCTCCAAGCCCGCCCAAGATCTCGTTTCTCACCTCTTAACCGTCGACCCAGCGAAACGTTACACAATTACCGAATTTCTCGCCCATCCATGGATCAAGCAAAACCAAGACCCAACATTTGCCGCCTTCGATGCACCACCTCTTGCCACTCCTGCTGTCGAACGTCAAAAGCAACTCGGTATCAACCCAGCTCTCCTCGAGTCCCCAGGTGCTGGCAAGCGTATGGATTTCCGTAGTCCTGGCCAAGTCAATCTTCGCGAAGTCTTTGATGTCAGTTACGCTGTCCACAGACAAGAGGAGGAAGGCAAGCGCCGCAAGAACTTCAAGCCCGGATACCGCAATACCGTCGCCATGAACGGCCTCAACCCTATCGACGATGACGAGTTTGATGAGGAAGAGGAGGATGAGGAGAACGCCAATAATGGCATTCCCTCTAAGGTCCCCAAGGCCAGAGACACGGATGTGCATCAGGTCGAGCAAAGCCTGCGAAACACAAACTTAAATGCCGCGGCTGCGGCTAGAGTCCCACCTGCGCAGAAGGGCTATGGACAGCATAGTGCGGCGGTCACTGCCGCGGCGAAGCAACAGGTTAGGCAGCGAAAGGGTAACTTTGAGCTAAGTCTGGACAACTCGACGCTGCTGGGCCGGAGAGCCAAGAAGGGGCCAAGTAATCTACGGGAGTCGCAATTGGCAGAGTGAATATTCAAGGGAAAATTTAGAGTGTTTAGTTCACTCGGGTGTTGATGCTGTCAATGCAGACGGCAAGTCATTGGCAATGAAGTACACGAGGGTATGATTCAGGGACCAATCATTCGTGCCTGGCGTTCAGGAATGCTTAAAACGTTCGTTTGCGGTTTATGATCCTATGGCCTGAGCATTTAGTATCCTCATGCTTCGTTACGTATTGATTGGCTTTTCTTTGTTGCGTACTACACGAGGCCGGGGAATGGATGAGGTTTGGTTCCGGATCCGGGTCTGCCTTCATAGAGTGGCGGCCCAATAACATGATTGAATGAAGCGAGAAATTCCATACAAAGAAAACACCGATTTCGAATCGCAACGTGTCTGAGAACAGCTACATGATCACCAGAACATCTATTTACTTATGCAATGTTACTATTTATTGTTTATTGCTTATTGCTCCTCACCTTTTGCCGACATCCGAAAGAAGAAAGAAGTGGATACGGTTGGGTATGTGGTGGATGATGGTGGTGGAAGGTGCCGATGTTGAAGTAGCTCGGTCAGAAAAATAATTGCAGCCGAAGAGTACCACGCTGATATTGCGATGCTCTTGATGGCGGCGACTTTGGGTGTCAAGTAAAGAGCTTGCTCTTCGTTCTATCACGTACAAAGTACTCTCAAGGAATAGATAGGATGTGCAGGATGTGTCCGACCACCGGCACCGAGAGAGAGAGAAAGCTTGGAGCCTTTTCTTTTGAAATGAAATGAAATGAAATGACCTGGAGGCTATTTTTTTTTCTACAGTACATACTCCTAGGTAGAACTGCTGCTAATAGCGGCACATAAAAACCACTTTTCCGCACCAACACCAAGGGGGTCGAGACTTCGGAAGTGGTCAGTCAACAAACACTCCCTCGGGTGTTTATTGGTTGGTTCTGCTCTTTGGGGGGGTGGTTGCGGTTGAGGAAATCCGTTGATCTTGGAAAATCTGGCTGTTTAGTAGACCTCGATACGAGATGTGAAGCTGGAGTCGCCTCTCTCTCTCTCTCTCTCTCTTTTTTCTTTTTTTCTTCAAGACTTCAAAGAGGTGTCTAGACGTAGCTGGAAGGATATATGCTTGCTTGCTTACTTGCTTGCTGGTAGAGACAAGCAGCTGGAAAGACGGGGAGAGCTAGCTATATAGCCCATGGCTCGTCTCCGTCCTATTTTGCTGAAAGTGGGCTTACAGAGCGGGATGGGCGTGGAGTAAGCAGTGAGTAGCCAGCGAGCGAGCTGTACCGAGGCGGCGGGTGTGGATTATTTTGTTGCTCGGGTTATCATGCTATGTAAGCGAAAGTCACGGTGGAGCGAGCAGATTCTGGGGAAGGAATCGCTAGCGAGCAGGTGTGCAGGTGCGCAGGTGAGTTATGCTTTGTGATTAATTCCGTATTGAGGTTAATCATAATCAAAAAGGGGGTTTTTTTTAAAAAAAAATCTGTTTATTGTTTGATTGTGGCGGGTCGAGGGGCTGGGGTGATGGTCTCTCACTCACTCACTCACTCACTCACTCAGCCCCCTTCTGTTCTATCTCGCGGCAGAAGTTTCTTTCTGACGACCGAGTAGTCATGGTCGGTAGGATATCACATCAGGTCCAGGGACAGAAAGAGGTTCATCGGATAGCTAGATGGTTGCATATGGTTGTAATAGGATAGGTCTGAGCATCTAAAGGTGACGATTGATAGCTACGAGGAAAATCGCGCAGCGGAAGTCAATCCAAGCTCTTGCTTGTACATACTACCTACCCTATTGATAGTAGTCCCAAGCAATCTTAGTGTTCCTGGCCGTGGGCTTTCTCTCAGGGACTAGACTCCGCGAGAAGTCGTGACTGTAAAGATTCAGAAATGAGCACTCGCTGACTTTTCAAGGAATGAAGAAATGAAGAGATACAAAGGAGAAGGGGGTTGGTTATGCTTGCCGTCTGTCTACAAATCACCAAACATAGATCTAACTATGCACTTTTCAGATTTCTGGTATATTCTAGAGTGGATTAGAATTTACCGGGCAACTCAATTGTCCAAGCACTTTCCTGTCCAGGGTCCGCTGTTGCGCAGCCATGTTCTCCTATATTAACGAAATGCATCCTCGCCGGCCAACCAAACGACGCAACCCACTCTCCAAGTCGACGACAGCTTTGTCGAAAGCCAAAGTCTGGCGTGCTGTAATTTCATAGCCCCATATCTGCAATTCGTTCCCGACCTATAATTATAGTAGAATAAGCGGCATTCCCTCAAAAGAGACAGACCGAAGGTTCAAAAACATGCATGCTGAGTCGAGAAAGCCTGGAAATATGAGCTGAGTTGGGAGGGAGTACGTACATCCAAGTGGGAATCAGATCACACCCAGGCCCTTCATCGCAAGCTCAGCGGCGTCGTGCCTTTTTCCCGAGTCAAGAAAGACAGCGCCGATTAAGGCCTCAACGGTGGCACTCATGGTGACAGGCGGAACCTCTCCATTAACGAAGGCGCGATGCTTGTTGATGTATTTCTCGAGGCCACAGTTCCGACCGCATTGAACCAGGTGACGGTTGCATGCGAGCTGGGCCATGTCTCGACTACCGGTACCTTTTATGCCCGGTTAGTAACCAGCCTAATGTTGAAATCTGAATATCACCAGGGATATATATGAAGAGGGGCACTGAACTTACAGCGAGTCTCGTGTCTCTTGTGGTACCAGTTGCAAAGAATGACGGTGCTCAAAATTCCGTCTCCCAACATTGCGAGTCTCTTGTTCCCATCCAGGATTCCGTGGTCCCCGATCTTGGTAACACCATTCCCGGCCGACTGAAGCGCCTCTTGGAGTAGCCTAGGGTCTTTGAAGGCATAGCCAAGCAAACTCTCGAGTTCTTGCTGAGATTCTAGGCGTGCGGCGGGAGAACGAGACTTTTTGGTCTTCCGAGAAGGCATCGTAAAATCAGATTTGGTTTTCAGGTATCTAGATTAGATGCGGCGCGGTGGTTTAAAGAAGGATGTGGAAGTCTTTCTTTGCGTAACATGTAAATGGGTTTGAGGCCCGAGAAGAGGTGGAGATGAGAACAGATAGTCTCTCAATCTTAAATGCAGGAGGAGACAAGCACCTCGATTTTGGATGGGACGAGAAATTGCTTCGCTTTTCGAGAGTCGGGGTCTCTTTGAAAGATTCCAAGACCATGTGGCAAGCAACAAGAGCAATGTCGACAGCGGAGAAGTTCATAGAGGAAATGTTGTGAAGCGTGAAGGTCAAGCTCTCCAGTCTCCCAGTGACTGAATTCTCCACCCAAGATGCTCTATTCAAATATAGCTGCTATCGATTCAGTTCTCAAAGCCTCCGTTAAACGAGAAAAGCTGCAAGGTGATAATGAATGACACAAAGTGAGCAATGTAAATGTAGGAGTGCTGAAGTGTACACTATTGATATGTAGCCCTTGACGGAGACAGAACGATCAATACGGGTCAAGGGAGGCATGTGCTAAAGCCGAAGCATGTTTTCCAAACGGCAAAGCGTTTGCTCGGTGATTGCGATGTGAATGTGAAAACATGACAAAAGCAAGCGGAAGGCACACACGGATACAGCGAGCTAAAAAAGAACCTACCTGGCTTTCCTGTGGTCTAGACGGGCACAGATTTGAATCTTGCTCGAGCCTGGTTGAGCGAACTGGATGAATTCAAGGCAGAGGATTGAGGGAGATGGGGTTCGGGAAAGAAAGTGTGGTCGTACAGCTCAAAAAGAGGGAGACCTTGGCCCGTTTTGATACCGGCTTCGGATCACCATTCGGCACGGGGGGTTCCCAGCTCACGACCATACAGAGTTATGCAAACTCTCATCAGGTGGTTTCAGATGAATCCACGCAGTAGAAATCCATTTCAGGCTGTAAATGATTATAAGGGAGAGCACATGAGCCAAATTCTTCATCGTAAAAACCTAGAAGTCGGAGTCTTTGCCAGCTGCGAATTGTTATTAAGAAATACACACGTACTTGTACGCATCAAGCAAAAACCGCAATGCTCTTGCTCAATTTGCCGCTGCCCCCATGCATTAATATCGCATCCAGCCAGACCCGATCACTCTCCTTATCCCATCCTCGCTCTGCTCCCCATGCGACGACTTTTTCATTCCGGGCCACAACCTCTCCTAGCCCAGACATCATGTCCCCCGTCCTGCTTACCGAAGAGTATGCGTCGAACTCGACGACCTGGATGCTGGGAACATCGCGCAGGACCGCCTCTAGCAGATTCTTACAAAATCGCTCGTAAAACCCCTCACTCTTGCGGAACCCAGCAAAGATGGCATCGCTAGGATCGCATTCCACAAAGACCTTCAAGACCCTAACATTTGTGCAGTCCCTCAATCCCAACTGCTCGTTCACGACCCATCCTTGTGGGGGGTTGTTCCATCCTGGTCCCACACGCAGCTGCAGAGACGTAAGGGACTCCCGAGCACGAGCTGGCAGACGAGCCAGAAGAGGCTTCTTGGTCTTGAAGTATTTGCCGGGGTAAGTAGGGAAGATTCGGAAGGTATGAGTGCTGAAGAAGTTGTGTACACTTTCGAGATAGATCTGCCGTGAGACCCTGAAGAGCGCAAAAATCTGCATTCGGTGAAAGAGTTTAAACAAAGACGGGTCCAGGTCTATCGCATCTGGCACGCAGGCAAAGACCAGAGAGTAGATCTTGTTCCGCAGTTCCGAGGGCAAGCGTGCAAACGGGAAGGGCTTCGTCTTAGTAGTGGAGTCTTCATCTTCGGATGTGTACGCAGAGGTGAAAGTCGAGGAGGATGGTGTCGTGATATTCGAGATCTGGGGAGTTGCCAAAGCACTCTTTGGCTTAGATCGCAGGACCAGATAGTTGTTTGCCCTTCCTTTCATTGCGCTTGAGATGTTTGTTCGTAAGCAAAGGTTGTGGTCTCTGGCGGGGTAGGCTGTCGAGTGGAGAAGGTTCGTCGAGTAGTCTCAGAATAACTCGGGATCGTAGACGCACGGTAGAAATAATTGATTAATGAATCGACTAATTGATTGACTGAATGGAAACTATTTAACAAGAGGATCTTCTAGGTGATTGATGCTTGAAGTTTGTGGAGGACTGTAGAGGTGCAACGGGATCGAATTACTCTCGAGACGGCGAATGCGTGAAGCACCAGCCGTCTAGTATCCAATTCTTTGGCATGCCATTTCTTCTCGAATATCGGTTTCAGCTCGAGACCTATGGAAAGGATTATCGAATCAATTTCTGTATCCCGATTTCTGTCAACTTTGAGGGAAGAAGAGGAGCTCGAGGGAAGGAGGAATTATATAGTCGAGGAATCACTGACGAAGCTAAGCAAGGCAGCTAGCCCCGATGCGGTCTAGACTGAGACTGACTAAGTACTGTACGTGCCTCCAAAATAATTCTTGGATGCGGGTGCTCCCCAGCTCCAGGTCCTGCTACCTCTCCTCCGAGACAACGACACAGCGTATCTTCTTAATTGAACATACCTGTGTACAATACTTCTCTTCTCATGCAACATGCTGCCTTTATCTAGGACAGGCACTCGCTCTCTGCGAAACCCTGGACTCAGGACGACGTCAGCGACACATCGGATAGCCTCCTCGCCAGTATGGATTCGCTCGATTGCGCGCAACAACAAACCGAACAATGCGCCCAAGAAACCGACGGAATTCGGCAGACCAGTTGGAAAGCCTGCTCCAGCGGGGCCAGGAGGAGTAAATGCAGCTTTCAACCAACCCGTACAAGGCGCAAGGAGCAGTAATAAGTCTGGCAAACCCGAATACTCCAAGAACCAAGAAGAGATCAGCAAAGACGCATCCCCAGAACGCAATAAGATCTCCCAATCTGCCGCTGCGAACGCAAAAAATGCTGGGAGCCGGGGTAAGGAGTCCACAGAGTTCTCGGAGAAGCAAGAGGAATTCAATACACCGGCCTCGCCTGCTGAAAACACAGCTCCTCAATCCACATCGCCGTCTGCTGTCGATCCTGCAAAAACCCAGATCCCACCCCAGCCTTTACCGGATTTGACGCAGGGAATCCCATCGACGTTGGAATTTGAGGCAATGGGCCGCACAATGAAGGCTCCACTGAACTTGACAGAGGCGGAGGAGCAAGAAGCTCCAGGTGGAGGAGGTAGAGGTCGTGGGGAGCTTCCGGCATCTGCATACGTGTCTTCGACCGAGAAGAGACGATTGCAATGGGCGAATTATATGTACGCCGCGTTCGCTGTCACCGTGGCGACTGGGACTGTTTTCCTAGGCCGAAACTGGGAGACTGAGGAGGAGGAGCTTTCACATCCAGATGCGCCGTCAGGATGGGCTGTTGGCTTGATTTGGGCCCGTGCAAAGGCTCGATTGGGAGACCAGCTGAACTACTACAACGAACCAGCCTTCCGGAAGCTGCTGCCCGATTCCCATCCCATATTTGAGCGCCCGTATACCCTGGTTCTGAGTATGGAGGATCTCCTAGTTCACAGCGAGTGGACACGAGAGCACGGATGGCGAATGGCAAAGAGACCCGGAGTGGACTATTTCCTGCGATACCTGAGCCAGTACTATGAGCTTGTCATTTTCACCAGTCAACCTTGGGCGATGGCGGAGCCTATCATTCGAAAGCTGGATCCATACCATATAGTTACATGGCCGCTATTCAGAGAGGCTACCCGCTATGAGAATGGCGAGTACATCAAGGTAGGTTCTTCCCACAGAATATGAATGGATCACGCTGATACATCCAGGATCTCTCTTATCTCAATCGTGACCTCTCAAAAGTAATCCTCATCGATACAAAAGCCGAACACGCCCAGAAGCAACCCGAAAACGCCATCATCCTGAAGAAGTGGGAAGGCGATCCAAAAGACACCGAGCTCGTCGCTCTAATCCCCTTCTTGGAATACCTTCACACAATGGCAACTCCCGATGTTCGGAAAGCCATCAGCTCCTTCGAAGGCAAGCACATCCCTACGGAGTTTGCGCGCCGAGAAGCGATCGCCAGAAAAAAGTTCCACGAACAAATCGCCGAGGAGAAGAAGCAGCGCCCTAAGCGCTCTGGTGTTGGAATGTTCAGCAATGCGCTTGGAATCAAGCACCAAAACATGATGATGGATCCAGCAGACCAATCACCAGCCGAAGCCTTCGCACAGGGCAAGATGTTGCAAGACCAAGCTCGTGAGAGAGGACAACGCAACTACGAGGCCTTAGAGAAGGAGATTCGGGAGAATGGCGAGAAGTGGCTCAAGGAGGAAGCAATGCTGGAGGAGAAAGCCAAGGAGGAAGGTATGAAAGCTATGAAGTCTGGTTTCACAAGCTATCTCGGTGGTGGTGGCGCGAAATAAGATGCCGAAGAGGCGATCAGAGGTCGGAATAGTGTACGAAAGACAAAGGATGACGGACGAGTGCCATGATAGAGCACTCGATGTATATTTTTGGCTTTTCGTGGATACCAGCTCGCATCTCTTCTCTTTACGAAAATACCGAACGTGCCTGCGCATGGAGGGTGAGCGCGCAGGCGATGGGCATACGAATCGAGCGAATCTGGGTCAGCTGTTGGCTATCTAGATGCTAGGCAGCAGCACAATTGTACGATAGTGTCATGACAATGGTCAGGCTTGGAAGACTGCACTTTGGGCATTATTAACACTGTGATGTCGATGCAGGTGGACCTAGCGGAGTCTTGGATGTTGGGTGAGGCGTTGTTGCACGACCTTGCGGCTCCTCGCATACACGGCGACCTCGTGGCGCAGAAGCCCTATTGCAACACAGCCAGAAGTCTTGAGATGTAAGTGCAGCTGATGAGAAATGTGGCATGCTGTTGATTTTTCCTGGCCGCTGCTTCATGAACACTATCAAATGACCAGTGTCACCGACGTCGTTGTTCTGTGCTGTGAAGGCAAGCCCCATCGAGCCGAGTAGCAACGGGCGCGAGGATGTATAGTACGAAGCTTTATATCTTCCTCAGCATCACATCTATTCGCTCCAGCAAGACTTCCCTCTTTTCCTCTCCGATCCTAGCTTTCGCAAATCGACATGATCCGCCTTATCACCATCTGCGTCCTCACTCTCTCTCTCCTCCTCGCCTCCACCTTCGCCGCGCCGGCCGAAGCCACCAACAACACCATTGCCGCCGGAGACGCAGCCAGCGGCAGCAGCAGCAGCTGCAGCTGCTATAGAGACTGCTACTGGAATATCGCGGGTATGAAAGCCTACTGTGACAACTGCGGCGCTCAGCCAACAGATTACCAGTACGTCTCCTGTTCACATTCCTCTGCGGCCATCCAGAATGTGATGTGAGGTGACGCCGAAGATATGGATTGTGCGGCTGATGTGCTGAGTGCAGGAAGGCGCAGTGCTTCTCCAACGTTTGCTGCGAGTGTCTTTGCGATGGTTAGCTTGCACGGTTGACGCTGGATCTGATTTCAAGTTCCCTCTCGTCATCGAGGACAATAGCCTGACTGCGTTGTTCGTTTGTTTTGTGTTTGGTCGTACGGAAAATAGCAGTCGAGGCTGGGAATGCATGACGACATAATAGTAATGGAGATTCTGAGCAAATAGCAGTAGCCTCGCCAACTGCTTCTATTTCCAATCCATATATTAATGATCCGAAAGGGTCCCTGTATTCCCCAACCTCTCCCCCCAAGATCGACAGTGCATGACCCGATGCAAGATCTGTTCTACCCGTCTGACACAAATCCACTATTCTATTCCATTCCTCTCCCGCGAACCGCTCATGAGCAATCTCGTCCAGTAGTCCATCAGCTCAGTGTCTTCCACCCTTCTTCTTTGCCTCGCGTCTGCATCAACCCGCACCCGAATCCTGATTCCCCAAGCCCCCAAGCGTAGCATATGCAGTTTCCCATGTCGATCGTACTGCATGAATCTATCGATGAACCGTCTGACCCCGATAACGCTTTCTCGGTGCCCTTTTCCCGTACAGCGCGTCACATACATACCAATTAGCGAGCTGAGAATACAAAGCGATACATGTACATGTACATCCATGCCCAGCCTCGCCAGCAAACAACGATCGGTCCACATGGTCCTGAACAACAATAGAACTTTTACATATAATAATGCTTCCTTCAATCCTCGTTCTCGTCTCTATCACCCGAGAAAGAATCAGAAATCGAACGTCCCATATCTGTCTTGACATCCAGCTCGGCTAAATAACAACAACAACAACAACCTCCACCCCCATACTAGCTCACAACACTTCTCTCACAACACCACCACCACCACCACCACCACCAAAATGCCTTCCCATCTCACCATCCTCAACCCTCTCACCCTAATCCTACTCCTCCTCGTCCTTCTTCTCGCCCCAACAACCCTATCCCTCCCCACAGAAACCACCACCACCACAGCCTCAAAAGCCCGCCACCTCCTCCCCGCCGCCCCAATCGCAATCTCAAACCTCGCACCAAGACGCGCCCCCTGCGCCCCCAACTGCCGGAAACCCCAGTACGACGAAGCGTACTGCACCTCGTGTGATTCACTGAGCGGCTATGCGTAAGTCAAACAAACTCCCTCTCCCTGCTCTGAGTCCCCCCTCACTCCCCCTCCCTCTATCAATGTCTCTTCTCCCATCCTCCGATCGGGTTTTCCAGGGACGTGGACGATGCGGCTAGACTATAGATATATCTGAATTCTTCGAATGAACGCTAACATTCCTCCTCCGTTCGTTGGAAAACAGACAGATGGTCTGCGACACAGCCAGTGAATGCGAGTGTTGGTGCTCATAAAGCCAACACCTGCCCTTCCTCCCAACAGCCGCACTCCTGCTTACCCGGGGGCGGAGGGTGGGGAGGCTGGGAAGCTTCTAGGAGGAGAACCGGCGTTATCTAGTCCCGTCTAGCGAAGTTTTCTCTGTTCAGTGCTCTGTGCTCTGTGTTCTGAATCTTGGTGTACTTTTCGATTAATCGTAATGGGGAGAAGCCGGCCTGTGGCTTGACGGAAACCAACAGTGTGACTTGTAAATCTTGGTATCTTTGCATATCTGGGATATCCTCCTGCCATGCCATGGATTTCTCCCTGGTCTTCTGGTCGGGTCGGCGTGCGAGGGAGGGAAGACTGGCTAGGGGCTTTGGAGCTGGAGGGGAGGATGGGCTTGTCATGAGCTTCCTGTGCTCGGAGCGAGCCGCTTGGATGGAATACCGAGCTAGAGCTACGTTTGCGATTTTGCTTTTTTATTTTTCACTAGGGCTGGTAGTGTTAGTGATTAATTAGAGGAGGCGTCGGTGGATTCGTGCGTGTTCCTTCTGATCTACTATTATCTAGTATTGACGAGAATCTAATTAATGAGTTTTGAGTAGTGATACGGCTTGGCGCTGGGATGGGAAAGCAAGGAAGAATGAGGAAAGGGTATCTTCTACCAACGCCATGGTATCGATTGAAATTCCCATCCTGGTCCTATCCTATCCCATCCCATCCCATCCCATCCACCAAAACATGTCTAAAATACTCGAGTGGCTTGGAAGCCCTCTACAACACAATTGCATCCATCCATCCTATTTACTATCCACCCATCTATCGCTAAACCGCTATCACAAACACAAAGGCAACCAAACACCTGCTCCAAAACCACCATGAGAGCCAATCGATGCTCCCCTAACAATGCTTCATCATCCACCACCCATCATCCTTTCCTCACTTTCCCTCCATCTTATTCAGCACACGATGAAACCCGCCCACCCGCTCCCTTCCCGAATTTCCTCCCCGGGCCAACCCTCTTGGCAACCCTCACTCCCACTCTGTGCCTCCTCGCCCCCTCCCTCCAGTCACCAGCCCGCTTGCAAACCGGCAGCACACCCACGCCCAGATCAACACCCTCGTCACAGCTGATAGATGTCGACTGCTCGGCCTCCAACCCCACAGCGACCTGCGCGTGACCCTGGTAGACTTCAACAAAGACTTCCCTCTGAGCCGGTCCGATCGGCACTGACGAAAGTATCGTCTCGAAATCGTGTACCTCTGATAGTTTGAAGTCGTGGTGGCAGACACGATTACAGTCTGAGCTCTGTGCTGTGAGGACTCTGGGCTTCGTGTCTGCCTTCGGCTTCGGTTTTGGCTTGGGCGCCGGTAAGGGAGGAAGTGGACGATTGGCGTAGAGCGAGACGATGTTCGGGTCGCTGGGTGTGTACGAGATGGAGCTCGGCGTAGGAGACGCACGGGGAGCGGAGACCACTTGCCAGCCATCCTTCGAAGGAGTAGCTTGGGGAGGAGGACCAAGAGATGCAGGCCGCACGAGTCCCCGTTCTCTGATGCACTTCCGGACTTCCAAGAACCTGGACTCAAGTCAGTACATGGGCTCACAACGGGAGAGAAAAGCACCCACGTATCAGTGAGGTGACGTTGATAGAGAAGCTCAAGTTTCTCTATGTTTGTCGTGCTATTATCGACGTAGAGATTCGCTACCCATCCCCGTTGCCCTTCCAAACTTTCCTCGGCTGTCAGCTCAAGAGTTTGGACTTCCATGTTGTTTCTGATGTGAGGCTGTATCGTCAAGATGTTGGTTCTAGAGTAAAATGAGGAAGAGTAAAGTTTTTGTGGCGAATGTGCCTTTGATATAGGAGTAACAGCGGTCGTAGCTTCAAGAACGCGATAGACCCTTGGATGATCATAGTAGCGCTTCGGAGCAGGTCAGATACTGTGTCGATGTCGGAGACATCGAACAGGTGTAAACAGACCTGCGTGAAGCGGCACAGCGGGGTAAACAAAGTGTTGAAGCAAAGAGGGTGAAAGATCATGACGTTTCATAGCGAAGCCTGGTTGATCTGCATTGTTCGTTCACTGAGACCAAGTTACGAGACAAGAGGCAAATTAAATTGACGGTAACTTCTGGAAATAAGCTACCGAGCCAGGAAGCTGGGAATATGCGACACCGAGCCCACGGATTCCACCACAAGTAGTACTTGTGGTCAAACATTTGTGTGTGAAAAGGAATTCTGTGTGAACTTTGTTAGAAGTGATGATGCGTGGGTACAAACAGGGCGGCGAAACTTCATCCCGTTTACTTTGATCGGCGATACACTCTTGATCTGGAGGCGAGGGGAAGAGCGCGCCAGGCTCTGGCAATTCTTTGATAGAGAGGAATGTGCAAGAAATTGAACAAGACAGGTAGCCAGCCCTAGTGAACTGTCTCTTACGGAACGCACCTTCTACTCAAAGTCTGTGCTCGCAAGAAATATCTTACCTCCTCTACTCTCTGAAGTGAAAGCTACAGCCAACTTCTGAATCGCAAGATCTCCCTCCACAAACCGACAATCTTCCACCGGACACATCGAAGGCGTACAGGGGCAAGTTTGGGATTAACCATAGCGATGGATGTTTGATTCGGAAGCGTCAATACGACCGATGTCATCTGAAGATTTGCTTGTTTACGACGCTGACATATAGATGATAGCCGCTGGAGGAGAAGATCAAGTCCGTGCCACAAGCAGGGCTCTTCTGCGGGGATAAAACAAGAGCAAGTAAGCATAGACGGAGTTGTGCCCCAAATAGGACATCAAGCAATTAGTAAAGTTTGACAATCCACATGCCCTGCACTGGCCCTCGCTTACAGTCGTCTGCCGATTGACAACGGTCTAATGTCAAACTCGCAATGCGTAGGCAGTGACAGAGATTGACCGAGCCTGGCGTGGTCGTTGCAATCTCACTCTCCGCTATAAGAATGCGAGCAGAGCCTCAGCTGCCGAGAACCGGCTGAAGCGAGTAAGGCATTCCTTTCCTTGACGTTCGACCCCGGCGACGGTCGACTACCAACGGGCTCTGCCGAGTCGGCACTGCAACACTCGGGATCGGATATAGAATCTCGGTCCAATGAGTCGCCTGCCCCCACCTACGCACGGGAAATGGTTCGTGTAACTGGGCGCTTCAGCTCATGATGAGCACCGAACAACTGTTCTTGGATGCCAGTGTCGATGCACAAAGAGGGGGCTGACTTCGAATTCGTTCCAATGTTGGTTAAGGTACAGGTGGCTTGAAAGATGAGCGAGAGGACAACCATGGCTCGGGCCGGGCCGGAAGGCAAAGTTCGGGGTGGTAAGTTTCCACACGAACTCGGGTTCCAAGCCAGGTAGGTATTGGACGAGTTCTCTGCAGCGCTTCAGCCCTCCCCCATTTGTATCCTTGCGTTGGCATCTGACATCTGGGATCTGGTGGCTGGTTCTGGCAGGATTTCCAGAGACTGTTGAAAGCGCATTCGGGGCAAGTTTCCGTCTGCTGTGTTGACATCCGTCATGCTTTCTGGGATGAGACTGCGGGATCTTGATCGGCTCTCCGGAATACCCAGAGAGCGTGAGTCCTGACCGATATGATAGGGAACTAAGACTCCGGGTATGATCCCGGAGCAGCGATTGTAGAACCTTGATTGAGTCTTGCATGGCGAGGATTTTACCGAAGCGCCACGCCCATGCAGCTCAGACTCTTACTGTTGATACAGGATGTTCTACTACATCTTTATTCTCGTTTTTCAGCATTCAGAAAGATCAAGTCGCGCGCCTCGAGGGTCTGGTTGTGGATCGGCTACACTGCTGGCACACGAGACTGCATGGGAAGTTGACCGTCTGCAGGCAGCTAAACCATGTTGTCGAATCCAAAGTCCCGACTTCCTTCCGATGTGTCATCGCGAGCGGATTTGTTGAGGTCCGAAGAGAAAGGGAAGGAGGGTGCTGGAGCCCTTGGAGGACTGGAGGTTTGTGTTGAGCTCTGGGAGGCAACGTGTGTTCCGGCAGTACCAGCGTCAGGAAAATATGCAGCTTTCACTGCCTAGAGAGGCAGTCGAGCATATCGAGGAATCTGTCATGAAAGACTTCTGAAGGACTGGTCTTACACTCGTTGATCGAACCTGACAAAGGACTGGGTGTCATGACAGTTTCTAAATCATAAACTTCCTAAGTCAAAGTCAGCACGAGCCCAAGCATGGCAGCTTAAAAATATTTAAGTTACGACCTGCCTCGAGAAGACTTCAGGACACATGCAGAGTGCCTTCGTTGTGCACTGAGTTCAGGTCCAGTGTTTAGAGACTGCGAGTCAAGCGTAGTCGATTGAGAGAACCACGCACTACTGGCTCCTATATAGAGATACGAGGGGGCCGTCAGGTCAGGTGCTAAAGACGGGCTGGGCACGCCTGGTTGTGATAGGGATGCGAAAATTGAAGAAGAGAAGCTCTGGCTGAGGTCGATTAAAGAGGGTAGTTCTCGGCTGGGTCGGCATGTATATGCATTCGTGCTGCTCTCAGCTCTGCCTTTACGAACGAAGAGGGCCATCCCTATTCTCCGCTACAGTCCGCTTTTATCTTTGAGTGGCCGTACCTAGACAATCCAGTCTCAGCACCCGTAACATGAGCCGAAGCACTTACCCAATGAAGCTACTTTGGAAAAGACTAGCGAGCATCCGCAAATGCCCCTGAAATTGGCTCTCGCATTTGGCGACCACGCCTTGCATAGAGTTCTATCCGATGCCAGAGAGAGCCAAACGCCTATCGTATAATACAGTGTGATGCAGATATGATTATAGGTCCTCTTCCAGATCCATAGCATCCTCGTTCGCGTGTCCATTTGCATCAGACTTTTCCTTTGGCGCAGAAGCCTCCTTGTCAATCATCTGTCTCGATACCGAAACAATATTGTCCTCGATTAGCTGCTGTCCAACGTCCTCCAAGTGCTTCTTCGGGTCCACCTTCCCTACATATCGCGTCTTCAATTGATCCTTTGTCAATTCGGTCTCCTCCTTTACACGCTTCTCGTATCCATCAGCCAGGCTGACCAGGTTCTTTAATCTCTCCTTGTTGCGGCCACCCTCCAGGCGGAAATCGTCCATTTGCAAGCCCTCAGTCCAAACTTGCTTGTGTAGGTTCATCAACATGTTCTCCTCCAGCGCAGTCTTGCGGTAGTTGATCCCAATGCTGTAGTAATGTCTATTCAGGCCATGGATGAGTGCTTGGATAGAGGGCTTGTTGAGATGTCCCAGGTTGGATGTGCTTTGGCGGGGTTCTTGACCGAGCATGAGCGATTGGGGGTTGATGAGGCGGAAGGCATCGATAACGACCTTGCCCTTGACGGATTGGATGGGGTCGACGACAACTGCAACAGCTCGGGGTGTCAATTGCTCGAAGGATTGTTGTGTGTTGATATCGACGGAGGAGAGCCAGCAGCCAAAACCGGGATGGGAATGGTACCAGCCTACAACTGTCTCTGGTCTATGTCTCGTTAGTCTCGGAAGCCGAATGTATCTGTTGTGACCTTACCGTCCTGTCTGCCGTAACATATCCATCATCTTGGTCTGGAAGACTGGATCGACAGCCTCAACACTGACGCCTGTACCACTCTGGGGCATGGCAAAGACATCAACTACGCGTACTGTAAAGTCATCCACGAACTCCCCAAGCATCAGGCCCATGACTTCCATAGGTACACCAGCTCTTCCATGTCGCAGCATCTTCAGGAGCGCAAGGGAGGAAATGTAAACGGTTTCGGAGTTATCGATCAGAGTTGTGCTATCCTGGGTAGTGCAGTATCAGTATACTGTCTATTGAAGGCTTCTTGGAGCTGCAGTGCAGCTGGTGAGACCTACTGATCCTGGGGGGGAGCTGTTGAGGCCGCCCATACCGCCAGCATTCGCCAGCATGCGGTTTAACCTATCCATCTCGGTGGGTTTATGTATTTATTGAGCTGGAGTTGGTGGTCCGGGGAGAGATTGTTTGTGAGTCGTTGACGTCGTCGCTACAAACACTCGCTGCTAGTACTGATGTTGGCGATATTCAAGCTCTCCAGGCTAGGCAGAGCTCACTGCGCGTTTAGACTTGGACGCTAAACTTGGAATGGACTAATACTGGGGCAAGGCTGAAGATGAGCCTCGCCTTGGACTGGTCTTGGCTTCCCGAACATCAAGTATACCCACGCAGGTGTATCTCTCTACACGTCTCTCTCCCCAATCATATACTTTGAAAAACAACAAGGCTGGCGATGTAGCGTCTGTCTCCTCTGCCCTCTGGACGCCCGAATTTCCCTAACAATTTTTCAAGTAGTGAATGTACGTCAGGTTCAGAGTCAGAGTTCGGTTCACCTTTCGGCTACGCAACACTAGTATGGAATCTCTCTCTACTTGCTCTTCCCTTCTTCCTTCTCTCCCTCAATATTTCTTTCTATTTCGACAACACCACACCCAAAACTTCCCTCACCGACGCTAATCTCGGCCGAAAGATCTTCGGACTTTCAGAGATTCTTCTCCACCTTAATCTTCACTCGTGGCTCACTTCTACCAGCTCGACATCATGCTTGGAAATACCAACTCAAGAATGCCTCCCATTGATCCTCCCAGAGGCCATATTCGAGAGGCCAAGAAGAAGGTCGCTTACTTCTACGATTCTGACGTGGGAAACTACGCGTACGTTGCTGGCCATCCTATGAAGCCTCATAGAATCAGGTTGGCGCATAGCTTGATCATGAATTATGGGACCTACAAGCATATGGAGATCTATGTAAGTCAGAAGCTACTCGCCGCAGTATTATTCTTTACCATTTGCGCACAGCTCGTGCATTTCCCAGGCTGTTGCTCTGTTGGAGACACAGCAGCGCTGGGCGCCCGAGTACTACTGCACCATAGACCTTCCTTTGCAAGAGGGTTTACTCGTGCATCTCGTCACCTAGTATCAACAGCTTCGATGTCTCCGATTCAGGCGTTCTGTTTAGTTAAATGCTTCGCGATGCCCCCGCTCTCACCTCCGGATGGAAGGCATGAAAGTATGCGCCAGGGCTCAATCGGCGTGCGCCTCGAAACTGCTGTTCCTTCGCGACTACCAACGTTCTGCAGAGACATTCGCTAACTTCCTGCACAGCGCGCCAAACCAGCATCGAAACATGAAATGTCCCAATTCCATACCGACGAGTACATCGAATTCCTCCAGAAGGTCACACCCGACAACATGGAATCGTACTCGAAAGAGCAATCTAAGTACAACGTGGGTGACGATTGCCCGGTGTTTGATGGGCTCTTTGAGTTCTGTGGGATCAGTGCTGGTGGCAGTATGGAGGGTGCGGCTCGTCTCAACCGTGGAAAATGCGACATCGCTGTCAACTGGGCTGGTGGACTTCATCATGCGAAGAAGAGCGAAGCAAGTGGCTTCTGCTACGTAAATGGTAAGTGGCCCGAAAGCGTACTGAGTACATGCTAATTTTCTCCTAGACATTGTTCTCGGTATTATTGAGCTGTTGCGCTTCAAAAAGCGAGTCCTCTACATTGACATCGACGTTCACCATGGTGATGGTGTTGAGGAGGCGTTTTACACCACCGACCGCGTCATGACCGTCTCATTCCACAAGTACGGCGAGTACTTCCCAGGCACGGGCGAGCTCCGCGACATTGGAGTCGGTCAGGGCCAGAACTACGCTGTCAATTTCCCACTCCGTGACGGCATTGACGATGTCACTTACAAGTCCATCTTCGAGCCAGTCATTCAGGCAGTAATGGTCAACTACCAACCGGAAGCTGTCGTTCTTCAGTGCGGTGGCGATAGTTTGTCTGGCGATCGTCTTGGATGCTTCAACCTCAGCATGGAAGGTCACGCCAACTGCGTCGAGTTTGTTAAAAGCTTCAACCTTCCAACGCTTGTTCTTGGCGGAGGAGGATACACCATGCGCAATGTCGCTCGCACCTGGGCTTATGAGACTGGTATTCTTGTTGGTGAAAAGCTTGACCGGACTCTTCCTTACAATGAGTACTACGAGGTAAGACGATAATTACCGCCACTGTTTAAATTCTAACACTGTCTAGTACTATGGCCCCGACTACGAATTGGATGTTCGAGCTTCAAATATGGACAATGCTAACTCACATGACTACCTCGAGAAGATCAAGATTCAAGTCATCGAGAACCTCAGAAAGACCAACCACAATTCCGTTCAGAGCATGGAGACTCCCCGCGAAACAATCATAGGCGGCCGAGACGAGGACGACGACATCTTGGACGATGCTGATGAAGACGAGAACGTGGACACCCGGTCTTCACAGAGACGAAATGACAAGCGCATCGTGAGAGACGATGAGCTTGAGGACAGTGAGGATGAGGAAGAGAACTTCAAGAATGGTGTTCGCCGACAACCTGGTGCGTTCAGACGACGCAATCAAATGGACTACAAAAACGACAACACCGCCTCAGATGTTGATATGGACAGCGGAGCACACACACCATCTGCCCCAACGCCTGCTTCTCATGCCCCAGCATTCCTTGTTCCCACACAGTCTGGCGAAGTTGGGTCCAATGCTCCGTCATGCGCAGACTCACCAAAACCTGCTGTGGATACTGAAGGGGATATTGACATGACCGACGACGTTGCTGAGCCCGACCAACCTGCTACCGCCCAATCAATACCCCCTGCCGCTACATCCGCTGCTGCGACGGTCACCGCAACAACCATCGAGCCAGAGCTAGCTACGGTCAAACAAGAAAGTGAGATGGAAACCATGGATACAGAAGTATCGGCTGAGGTTATTACTGGCCAGCCTGAGCCACCAGCTGCTGCAGCTGTCACGGAAGCCAACGCAGAAGTAAACGCAGAGATCATGGAGCGAAAGGCGAGCGAGTCCGAGGCCCGGCCGTGATCGTCGATGTAGACGTGGCTCTCACCATCTGCACAAAGAGGCGGCTAGGTGGTATGTACTTTGTATATTTCAGCATGGCGCATGGCGTACGGAGCGGCCGGTCACACTACCGAAGTTATCTTCAGTCCCAAAACGAAGCCTTCCCTGTACTCATAAAAATTTGCAATGAAATTTTTCTATGAATTTGTGTAACATTAATGTGAAGTTGCGACCGAGAAAATGATCACGCGTCGAAGTGTTCCTACAGAAGATCGTGTTTATCTTTTTCCCTGGTACACACCTACCATGATGTGGAAGGCTGCGTTCATCTCTGCGTGTACTCGATTTTGAGTGTATATGTCACGTGCTGTCAAATATGGGAGATCAAAACGGTATTGGTTGCAAACGGTAGGAGGGACTGCATGGAAATAGATAGGCGAATATGAAATGATAGAGGCAGCTAAAGTAGGCTTGCTAAAATCCTTTTCTACCCATTCAGTTTTCAATCCTGGGGACAATTTTCTCGACCAAATTGAGCTTAATGCTTAGTGCGACCGATCCTCGGTTAGCGATTAGGGCATGCCACTCAGCGGCCGCAAATTCTCAATCAATCTGCGAACGACGACGACGAATTTTCTTCCCACTCGCCCCAAAGCAACTCACATCGTCCCCTCTTTCTCTTTGAATTAACCACCGAGTCAAAGAAAAACCGATAAGATGGCCAAGATCTCGTACGTTTTGCCTCCTTGTTTTTCCGCCGCGCGCTCCGATTGCTTGGGGATTGCTTTGGGGGGTGATCGGGGAGGAGAGTTTTTTGGGGAGAAAATGATGAGAAGTTAGGAAGGATTAGGAACTGACAGAATCGTAGACGTGGTGCCCCTGGTGGCAAGCTCAAGATGACCCTCGGTCTCCCAGTGTAAGATACCCTACCTACGATACGACTGCGATTCCCACGATACCACATCCCACATCCCACCAGCAAGTTCGAGGCCGATTTCGAGACGGAGGAACGCGCCGGGCACAATATTCCTCAACACTTAGAACAAACATGCCTGAATGAAACTGCGGACCTCCGAATAGAACGTCATAGAACGGAATGAGGGAAAGATACTGGCTGACAATCCCTCTCAGTGGCGCAGTTATGAACTGCTGTGACAACTCCGGCGCCCGTAACCTTTACATCATCTCCGTCAAGGGTATCGGTGCGCGCCTCAACCGCCTGCCTGCCGGTGGTGTCGGTGACATGGTCATGGCAACGGTCAAGAAGGGAAAGCCTGAACTGCGCAAGAAGGTTATGCCCGCTGTTATCGTCAGACAGTCCAAGCCATGGAGACGAACTGACGGTGTCTTCTTGTACTTTGAGGACAACGCTGGTGTTGTAAGTTGGACCCTCAGCATCTACTTGTGAGGACGGGTTTTGGAAAATCGCCAAGGGAAATGGGCTTGAAGCGGTTTAAGAAAGAGTTATTGAAGGGCAGAGGACTATTGGGTTAAAGGATAATTGCTGACGGATCAAATTACAGATCGTCAACCCTAAGGGAGAGATGAAGGGATCTGCTATCACTGGACCTGTCGGAAAGGAGGCTGCTGAGCTTTGGCCAGTACGTTTTTCCCTATCACATACCCCAAAACCCAAGTTCCCCCCCATAAAATCAGAGAGCTAATACACGTATCCAGCGTATTGCCAGCAACTCCGGCGTCGTCATGTAGAGGGTGTGAGTTTTTTCCGGGGTTCGGGCATGGACGGGTATGCGTTTGCTGCTGCTGAATTTAGAAAATGAATCGGTAGCTTCTTTCCCAATGCTTCAGCTGTACTTTTGATGATTTATAAGCTGTGCTTGTGTACGGGACCGTCTTTGAAATTCTTGGGGTAAGAAACTGGATTTGGTAGCTGACTAAGAAGAGGGCGACGTAGGGATGCGCCGTTGCTATGTCGGTATCTTTCTCATTCGGGCAGCGAAGAAGCCCAAGGCCGTGACTTCGAAGCATACCTATTCAGAAGCAAATGTAAAGCAGTCTTCCCACAGAGGCTCAGCTGGCTGCTCCGTCACACACACCAGAGACCTCCCGCCCAGCCCAGTGGCTCGGTAACCGCCCTCAAACTATCTCCCTCTCTTTCTAATCACAGCCTTAATGAATATTTTTCTTCTACTCTATTATTATCTTCTTTCCGACTGTACACTCCCTTACCCTACCCTAATCCTTCCTTCCTTCCTTCCTTCCTTCCGTTCTTCCGTCCGGACTCTATCTCAATGAGTTTCGCTGGGCCATGGCCAGCTTGAGATCTGCGATTTGGTGCCTTTCAACTTTGGTTCGTTTCCGGAAGCTCAGACGTGCAAGGTCGTCGTCGTCTTCTGCTGCAGCTCTCTGCTCTTTGCCGATCTGCATTTGCAAATTTGGTTCAAGGATGGAAGAGCTGCTCAGGAGGAGAGATGAAAGACAACACTAGCTAGACCCTCTCCCGCTTGTGTCGGCGAGGGGGGAGTGGAAGAGGGGAAAGTGGCTGGCTGGCTGCTCGAATGGTAAATCTTCTCGTTGCATGCAGAAAGAGGTCTTACGACTTGTTGCGTGCGTCCTGGGTGTTCAGGGACGGGATGGCACGGGATTACCGAGCATGAGTTAGGCATATTTCGCGTCCGCGGTTTTGAATTGGAGTGTTGGCGTTATCGGGACGGGAATGGATGGGGTGTTGGCTTTCTATCTCGCTCGCCGGGGGAAACAGCTGAAATTTTTGATGATACCTCGTAGCGGGGGTTATGGATTTACATTCTGTATGGGTAGGTAGGGAGGGAGGTAGGTAGGTGGTGCTGGACGGATAGACAGAAAGGAGGATCTGCATATCCTGACTTATACCACTGCTGGCGGACCAGGGCAGAAAAGACAGTCTTGAAATCAAACGCTTTCGAGTCCCTTTTGCCTGAGACAGCTACCTCTCAGGTCTGTAAGTATCGCCAATTTAGAGAGAGAGAGGCATAGCCAACCGACTCCAGAACACTAAAAGGATATACTCATAGGCAGGAGGAAAGCAAACTATCAACTGCTCGGGTCTGGAAGCGTTCCTCGTTGTTCCAAGATATACCCTAGGAAAACCTACAATATACTCTGGACTACCAATCGATAGGTTCCATAGGTGCTCCTCACGTCTGGAAAGGCTTCCCAGGCTGCTTTGAACTGATTCTCCAGCTTCTTGATCACCTCATCGTTGTTCGGATCGAGCACATGGTCCTTCTCGGGCATCAACGACCAGAGAGGCAAAGATGCAACATATTTCTCGCTTCGCTTAAATGATTCGATAGCGAGGCTGAGACCGAGATCGTCTGTGATCCGCCCCATCTGAATGGCCTGGGTCAGGGTCGCGCTCGACAGGGCAAGGCAGATCGCACCAGCCACGAAGCGGCGGAGGGGTGTCCGCGGGTAGCTGTTGGCACCAATATCTTGAATGTTGTAGAGTGGGACTTGACCGCCGGGCACTTCGGCCCTCTCCTCGTACATGTTGGAAACGCGGTCCACGGTATCGTTCTCGAGACCTGGCGCATGAAGGCAGTCAATCTCCCAAGGCAGGGAGGTCTAGCCTTGAATTCTTGAATGGAATACTGGTGATGCCTTCCTTATCGCTAACGAGAATATTCGTCTTGGTTTCCGAGGCGGGGGCTCGGTAGACCTCAACCTCACCGGTCTGAATCCAGATTTTGGAGACCTCCGAAGCCTCCGCATGCTTTTCGTCCAGATGAATAGTTACCGGCTCTGGATCAGCAGCAGTCGTTCCAGCCATCACTCGGAACAGAACCACAACATAGCTGGAGAATTTCAGAAGTGATGCGGTATCGACGTAGTTTTTCTTCCCGTTGCCAAGCATGATAGTGGTGAGAGGACCAAGAGGCCGATGCTCGCAGATCTCGTTTCCGTTAGCGAAACTATAGGCTTCCAGTTATTGTCTCTTCTTGTTTAGATCTTTGACTTGAGTAGAGGAATATCAGGGGTTACCTACCACTTTCGACCACCATCAGACTTCATTCCACGGCCTCGGGCAGGAACTAAGTGGCTCCGGACGAGTTGTTTTATTCATTAGTCAGTAGGTACGAGGTATAATTTAAAGCAGAGTGAACATACGATAGGAATTGTGTAGAAACATGGATTATTAGTAACGCCTATACGAAGTGTTTCAAAGCTATCAAGGAAGCAAGGACTGACAACCAACCGACACCGAGTCCACTGTGCCTGCCCTTCAGTTACAGCTCCGGTATCTTGAGCTTACTAAATCCCCTATTACAGTATTATCGTATAAAATCCTTGATAAAAGCGGTTTTGGGGGGGGGGGGGGGTTGGATACGATGGAGCATACCTATAAGATCAATGAGGTTACCGTAGTTCTTAGGGATGTTGATCTCGGGAATTTTGGCGGCTTAAGTTGAGACCAAGCCATATGAAAGCGGGAGATATCTTGTGAGGGCTCACTCTTGGCTACTACCGGTAATCGGCAGAACCTATGGAACATAGCACCCATATGCTATCCTCAGTTCCGCGGATCAACGTGTGTCCAGTTTTGTAAGCCTCGGCTGCAAAACTCATGGTCGAAACACTGCTCAATTGACTCCCCTGACTTACTGGCCGCAGAAATAACATCTCTAGTTAGGCAGCCTGGAGTGAAATCCTGGGGAAATCTATCGTTGAGTAAATGTTAGGGTCTTGCAGCAAAGGGTCTTCGGGGACGTCCCTATGCCCGCCATGTGAATAGCGTCGTGTGAAAGCGTAGCTTCGTGACCTGCCTTCCCTATACAGATGATCGATTGAAACCCGGTCGGAGGAGGAAAGGGCTTTCGCTCAACCTTAAATCATTGGCGGAAGTTATAGAAATTGTAAGTGACATATACGTATGCCATCTATGAGGCTCGTCTTGGTTCTCAATCTCTCTAAATTTGAATAACCCAGAGCATGTCGAAGAATTCTGAATAGATGCTAAGGAATAGTATAATTATAACAGCTTTTAAAAGATCTGCTTATAAACTCATGAAATTCTAGCTTGTGGTAAAGAAATTTTAGTCGTCAATCTGTAGTCGATTTTCAGCAACGGGCTAATATCTCTGACCGAAGTTGACGGATCTAGTATTTACTTAGATAGATATTGCTGCTTTGAAGTAACTATTTATGCCTATGCTATCGGGTGACAGTATCTGTATATCACGACAGGCCCATCACAGCCATTTGATATGGCCTTCTTTAATCAGCAGCCAGCGAAACTGAGACTCACCAAACTCACCAAACTTCTCAGGCCTTCAAAGTACCAATACTGAGCTTCCAAGACGGTGATTCCGAGGATCTCAGTTTCTGGGTCGACGACTTCCCAGGATTCTCTCTAGCTGCGAAACAAAACCGGTGCAGAATGTTCTCGTTACAGTTTCACTCGTGGCTCCGGGCCGACAGGGCTGTGCATCAAGCTGATTCATCATCAAGATCCTTTCCTTCCACCGATTCCTAATATACTTGTTGAAGATCGAGCCTTGCTGCCCTCACCGGCCTATACCTTATCATCAGAGGACGTTTACTCCCGGTCATTTCTTGGACATCTTCTTTCTCCCGGAACATATCTCCTCCACACGCCTCGAACATGTCCTCAATGCCATCGTATCGACTATACAACATGCCGTCAGACCGCTGTATAAAGCCAAATTACCATCCGTCACCCGATCCTGCTGAGTACGTCCACCTTGCACTCTCATGAGCCGGGCTCTTAGCGGCCGAATCGGTTATTGTAGCACACCTGAGCTAGTCTAGGTAGCGCATTTCAAAGAGATCCTGTGAACACGACGCGTCAGCTCGCTGTATGAAGAAAATATAATCATCGCCGTGGTTTATCAATCTCACCAATCAGTTCCCTCCTTTTTCAGCGAACCCGATGCAGACGTGATTACCAGGAAAGAAAACCAAAGCGAGAGAGGGCAACCCGTCAAGACAGATTTAGATTCAATACAAGAAGTACCTGAAGATTCTACGTCTAGCTAACAGGAGGAGAAGAGGAAGAAGAAGAAGAAGAAGAAGAAGAAGA